ACACACACACACACACCTGTAGATTGAACCCACTCTTGAGGTTTTGTCTCACATCATAAACACTCAAACACACGGGGGCCAGTGCTCCGCAGCTTTTAACGGCACTGTGAGTTGTCCATGTCAGTGACAGCAAATGAATAGACAATTGAATCACTTCTCAGTTAACAGCAGGCCCCAGAATGAGTCGATGAAAAGTGGCACAACAGGGCGTGTGGAATGTCTCTGTTCGACGAGACACATTTTGCCCCGGGGAACAGTCGGCGGAGCGGCCTCTCACATGCAATTAGAGCGGATAGGTTTGAAATGAGCAAGACACCAATCTGACTCGGTAATCCAAATTAAGCTTGTTAAAAGAAGAATGCTCCAGAGAAAGAAGTGATTTGCCAGGAATTAAATTCAGAGAAGAGCGTGCCTGTTTGTCTGAGTGTAGCCTCACACATCGGAGGGGGATTTGTCACATCCTGCTGTTTGATTATGAAGTAAATTTCACATTCAAGAATCATCACCCACGCTGCCTCCCTGCAGATGATGGCCAAGCCCAGCGAGTCACCTGTGGGCCGCCAGCACCAGAGCCACCCAGAGGAGACGGAGGAGGAGCTGAGAGAGCATCAGGACGGCGGAGCTCTGCCGCCGGGGGTCACCATCAAGCAGGAGCCCCTCGACCCGCAGGAGCTGCAGGAGGAGGCGATGCAGCAGCACCGGGAGAGGCAGGTGGAGCAGGAGCTGCTCTTCAGACAGGTAGAAGATGGGGAGAGTCATGATAAAAAAAACACGTAAAGAGTGAGACATCTGCTCTGGTTTACAGCTGGAAAAGAACACAGGCTGAGAGAATCAATATGACAGTTCAGAGAATTGATTCCATCTCTGCTTGGCACTTATGTTTTGCAGATGGTCCTGGGTAAGTCCTGGGGAGGTAAAATCTCAAAACAGGCGCACAAATTTAATTTGAGCTGTTAAAATGTTGCTCTGATCCCCAAGGCATCCCTGTGATTAAATGCTGAGGGGAAACCAAAACTACATCATTTGTTTTGGCTGCCATAAGTTGTACAAATCAGTTTTTCCTCCCTTTAGTCCTCTAATGCATTTACATTTTAGGCGTTTCACAAAACGACTCATCATCACAAGTGGCGAAAATTCATCTTCTTTTTTTGTGTTTTGCCACTCTCGTTTATTGTGTGGGCATGAGCAGCAGGCGTTGTTGTTGGAACAGCAGCGGATTCATCAGCTGAGAAACTATCAGGCGTCCATGGAGGCTGCCGGCCTGTCAATCTCCTTCCCAGGACACCGCCCGCTGTCCAGGGCCCAGTCGTCTCCGGCCTCGGCGTCCTCTTTTCCAATCAGTGTCCCAGCCCCCGATCCTCCCGCCAAACCTCGGTTCACCACAGGTCAGCATCACCATCGTCTGTCTGGAACTTTAAGTGGAACAACACTTACATGACTAAAAATCTGACGAGGAAAGCAGCGTGACATCATATATGATACGAAGCTGATTCCCTCACACAACGAGTGAATGCTTCTGTGTGTGCTTCCTCAGGTTTGGTGTATGACTCTTTAATGCAGAAGCACCAGTGCATGTGTGGAAACACCAACAGCCACCCGGAGCACGCTGGACGCATCCAGAGCATCTGGTCCCGGCTGCAGGAGACCGGACTGAGAGCGCAGTGTGAGGTGCGTTAAACGTGGAAATATCAAAAATATCCACACTACACGTTGCGCAAAAGACTAAACTGTTTATGAGAGTTGCATTCCTCTTTGTGCGTGTGTGTGTAGTGTATCCGTGGGAGGAAGGCCACTCTGGAAGAGCTGCAGACGGTTCACTCTGAAGCCCACGTCCTGCTGTACGGAACCAACCCTCTCCGACAGAAACTTGATTGTAAGCTTTCACACACACACACACACA